GCACATGAGAGCACGAGCAAACCTGGGGCCTGCAGGTCTCATCTCTCACTGCATTCAGGTCCCTCCACACGGACCTGGAACTGGGCCCTGAGCCGGTTACCAGCACTGTCCCTGCCATCCAAGGCCTCGAATTTTAATTTGTAGTCACCAGAGTCAGGGAATGGAAATTGTTTTGTGACTCATGAAGTCACATAGGCAGAGGAGCAGACAGAACCACAAATAAGAGACTCCAGTTGGCAATAGCCAAGTTGCTTCAAGGCTATTCTTGGAAACAAAAGCATCACATCTTGCATCTTCCCAGAAAACGCAGAAACTTTTCATATTTCTGGCTAGTCGGTTTTATTTCTATTTCATAGCACACTCCAAAAAGACAACAGCTGAGTGGTGGTTAACAAGGTAGTCTTTAATAAGAGCTAATCACTCGGGATCCTAAGAGGTTTTTTTTTTTTTTTTTTTTTTTTTGAGAGGTTTTCGCTATAGGGCGCGTGCGCTTGCCAGACAGACAGAGAGAGACATAGAGACAGAAAGCGAGAAATCACCCCCCAGGGGGGATGGTCACGCCGCAATCCCTTCTCCTCCATTCTCCTCTCGGGATCTTGGGCACGCGCACACACGCGCCCGGTGTGAGATTTAAGCCACCGGGTCCGAGACGCGAACTGCGGTCGACTACGTGGGAGTCCAGCGACATAGCCATTACGCTAACTGCTGGTTCCCAGGGATCCTAAGAGTTTAAGAGTTTTAAAAATCCTTAAGTACACACTTTTGGGGAAAGGGAGGATATCCACCCAAGGTATTATTACTATTATTATTTTTGTCATAGGGCATGTACACTTGCCAGAAAGAGACAGACAGAGAGAAAGTGAGAAATCACCCCCCAGGGAGGATGGCACCATGCTACAAAATCCCTTCTCCTCCCTTCTCTCAGGATTTTGGACACGCATGCATACTTGTCCGGTATAATTTTTCAAAACACTGGGTCCAGGGCTCAAACTGCAGTTGGCTATGTGGGGGTCTAGCACCTTAACCACTATACTTCATGCTGGCCCCACCACCCAAGGTATTATCCTCCAGCTCTCTGGAAGAAAAGGCTTGAAGCGAGACTGAGAACCGCTGAGTACTAGCTCGGTGCTTCTAGTTCATTACCAACGCCACCCTGAACCTGTGTGTTTTCAACTCATCAAACTCTTCTGGTATGAGGTTCACGCTTTATATCGGGAGAGCTTAAAGCTCAGAAGTTAAGTGATTTGCCCAAAGCTACACAGCTGGGAAGTGGGTCTGAATCCAGATCTTTTACATTGAAAGTGTTCATCCTCTAGTTTTAAATTACAGTGAGTAGCAGCACCCCTAGCTTCCAGATGAGGAAAGAGCAGAGAGAGCTGCTGTAACTTCTATACGGTCACATAGCGAGTAAGTGCTCGGTCCGCACCCAGGTGTGCCTGACTAGGTATTCCGATGCCTCCCCATCTCCTGCCGTCACCCCCGAGGAAAGCTACCCACCGCATCTCAGGGCTTTGACTTAAAATGGAAAGCTGATTATAAAAGTTGGGATTACGGGGCGAGCAGGTGGCACAGTGGTTAGGGCACTGGACTTCCACATTGGCTGATCACGTTTGGAGTCTTAGGCCTGACAGCTTGAAACTCCCACCTGGTGCGTGGGCATGTGTGCCCAAAATCCTGAGAGGAAAATGGAGGAGAAGGGATTGGGGTGTGGCCATCCTCCCCTAGGGGGTGATTTCTCACTTTCTCTCTGTCTCTCTAGTGAGCACACACACCTTATAGCAAAAACATCTCTCTCTAAAAAAAAAAAAAAAAAAAAGTTGGGACTAGATTTTAGATCAGGGAGGCAGGTCTGAGCCTGGTACAGGCTGCGGGGCACACGTCCAAGGCTGCCCTTGCCTCCTCCTGCTGAGCATCCCCTCCACCTCCCCATCTCACTCTAGATAAGAGCTGGACCCTGAGCTCCCACGCCCACAGGGAGCCCTCGGCACCACCTTCGGCTCTCTGTCTGCTGGAGCCCTAAGATTAAGTTGTTCATTTTTCTTTGAGGGAAGAGGGGGAGGCGATTGGGGTTGGGAGAAGGCAAGTTCTTCCAGTTTGTAAATTATTATCTGGGAGTCAGGTCTGGCTTGATACTTCTAGACAGTTCATGATTTTAGGCAAGGAGTTGGCAACTGGGAGACTTGATTTGCGAAACTAGTTGTTCAAACTGATGTGTCTTTCAGATGCACACCTAACGCACGTGTGCGTCAGTGCTTCAAGGCATTACCACGTCCTCGAAGTGCCTGCCCGCCAGGCCAGCAACCTCAAGGCGGAGATTGTCACCCATCTCTTAGGAAAGGAACTGCAGCTTGGGGACTGTGAGGCTTGTGTGAGGCCATATGGGTGGTGAGGGGCCCAGCCAAGCGCTGGACTCAGGCTGCAAGAGCTCCGAGGCCTGTGGTTTTCTCTGCACCACTTGCCCATACTTAGAAAGGACCGTGGGATCGTAGTCAGATTCAAGTAGCCTTGCATTTGTCTGACAGCTCCTGCACCCTTTGTTCAAAGCCAGGCGCAGAAGTGGTTCCAAAGATAGATACGGCCTGGGAATGTTAATACGCTCTGAAAAGCAAACAAGCCCTGCTTTCTGCTTCTGCTCTCTGGGTGGCAAGGACGGCACGTGGGGGAAAGCTGAGAGGCAGTGAGAGGCGGTGTTTATGGGAGCCACGTCAGAGAGCGCCGTGGACATTAAAGGAGGTGCCAGAGCATCTGCGCAGAGACCCACGCTCCTGCAGGCACAGTGCAGGGCCGCCTCCCCACTCTGCTGGGTGCTGTGGACCAGGTCATCAGGCAGGGCCTCGTGGAGGACTGAGGCCTGGCCGAGGTGTGAAAGTCGGCTAGCTGGAGTTAAGAATGTGTGTTCACCTCACTTCCGCCGAGGACAGTCGCAGGACATCGGATGCTCCAGGGGGACGAAGGGTGGGAGGGCAGGGTCCTACCCGAGTTGTGGCCACTTAGTGCTCAGAAGCTGGGCGTCTGCTGTCTGGAGAGATCACCTGTCTCTGACAGGCCACCCTTGGTGCCCAGCTGGCTTCTGTCCTTTGTATGTGATTTCCTCCCCCGATGCCGCCACCAGTCTCCTAGTTTCCTTTCTGATTGTCACGTGGCCAGCCCTCTCACTGCCCCCATCTGCCAGCCTCCTCCTCCAGTCCACCTCCTGCCATCTCATCTTCCCCAGCACTGGTCCCACGCCGCTGCTCCATCTCATCTGCTCCACAGTCACGGGGGAAGCCAGGCACCCTCTTTGTCCTGGAGTGGACACCCCAAGATCTGCTCTAGATATCCCCACACTTCCTCATGAACCCGGAATGCCTGCCCCCTTGAACTCGATACTGTTAGGCAACTGAATGGCTGCTTCCCGGCTGGACCTCTGTATGGCGTTTCCTTCATCTGGAACGCACGTTTCTGTCTCATTGTGAACTCCGCCTCATTCCTGTAATTGGAGCCTTTGTGACATTTCCCTCTGTAGCCCCTCTGGACCCCTCGAGGATCTGTTGAACACCCTGGGCTTCCATGTGTCATCCATGTGCCCCAAGCACCTGCCTCCTGTCTTGTAATCAGCTCTGTACTGGCCTGTCTTCTCGAGAGGCCAGCCTGCCTGTGTTAGCCGGCTCTGTCCAGCACCCACCTGCTGCCCAGCTCTTGCTGAATGAATGGGTAAGAGACTAAGGGAAGATCAACTCCATTCTCTGTCAGTATCCCCCCTCCCCACGCCCCACCATCCGAGCATGCCCACAACAAGCCTTTCCATCTGGAGAGAGTGCAGAGCCAAGAGGTCTCTGTGCCCTGTGGGTTGGCTGACCCCCTCTCACCAGGCCTCTGTTGGGGAGCTCAGGCTGCTGCACCCACTTGTTTACAGACCCCCTGCAACCCTCACAGCTGGGGCAGCCGCAGCTCCTCCATAGTTGTCTTCTTGCACTCACTTTGGATTCCAGAAAAATAGCGAGTGCCTTGGAAAACTGACTCTACTCTATTTTTGTTCTGTTGAAACCCAAATGACTTTCCTAAGAAATGCCTGAGGTTAGAGCGATGTGGAGAGAAAGGACCATGGCCAAAACGCAGGCGAGCTGTTTTTGTGATGTGAATGAGCACCCAGCGCATTCCCCCTTCCATCAGCCTAAGCTCTTGTTCCAAATAGCTCCAGGCCCGGGCCCCAAAGCAGACTCCTTTCGTACAGGAGGAGGCGGAAGCAGAGGCAGAGGTGGAGGCGGAGGCAGAGGTAGAGGCGGAGGCAGAGGCAGAGGCAGAGGTGGAGGCGGAGGCAGAGGCGGCAGTGGAGCCCCACAGGTCTCTCTGTCTTCCATGTGTCTGTCTGAGGTAGATGGTGTCCTTCCGGGAGATACCGGGAACTGCTCATTTTGAGAAGTTGCTGTTTGTCATCTGTGGGGAGGGAAAATCTATCCTCTGGTAACTAACGAAGAAAGATGTTAAAGTTTCATGTCCAAGGATAGGTGGGATGCTCATGAACCCTGGAGAAGAATGGGCTTTGGGTGTTTTTTAACCCGTGCGCTAATATGTCTAAGTTTCATTAACATTGGCCAACCAATTTGCAGCACCCAAAGTCACAGGTTTTCAGTGATGCTAAATCTAGTGTACTTTTCTGGTTTGGTTGGGTTTTGGTTTTCTTTTTCTTTTAATAGCTACTTTTCCAGAACCATCTTGCTTATAGCAAGAGTAACCAGGTATTGTGGACATAGCAGGGTATAGCTTTGCACAACCCATGGTTCTGTTCAGCCAGGGAGAAGGGGACGGTGGGAGTGGGGCGCTATCTCCAACAGGGCAGGATTGCCAAGTGAGAAGGTCCAAATTGTACCTTTGCCGTAGATGGCTTATGTCTTGTATTAAACGTTAAGTATGAAGGTCAGTATTTTAGTGTCTTAAGGAATTTCACATTTATCTCTCAGCCACCCACCTCCGCCCCCACAGCCTACGAAGCTCACCCATGCTTCTGCCTCCCTTTGCAGGCGTGACGTTCTCCAGGTACTTCATGGTGTCCTCCTCCGTCTTTCCCACACCTCTCCACACGGCTTCTGAACCATGGGGGAGAACGAGGATGAGAAGCAGAGCCAGGCAGGGCAGGTTTTTGAGAACTTTGTCCAGGCGTCCACGTGCAAAGGTACCCTCCAGGCCTTCAACATTCTCACACGGCAGCTGGACCTAGACCCGCTGGACCACAGGAACTTCTATTCCAAACTCAAGTCCAAGGTGACCACCTGGAAGGCCAAAGCCCTGTGGTACAAACTGGACAAGCGCGGCGCTCACAAAGAGTACAAGCGAGGGAAGTCGTGTACGAACACCAAGGTAAGAGGAACCCTGCACGGGCCTTCCTTGCCGTGACAGAGTGTGGGCTGGCAATTGGGTGCTTAGGAGCCTGTAGCCAGGAGGCGGAGGCAGAGGTGGAGGCGGAGGCTGAGGCGGCAGTGGAGCCCCACAGGTCTCTCTGTCTTCCATGTGTCTGTCTGAGGTAGATGGTGTCCTTCCGGGAGATACCGGGAACTGCTCATTTTGAGAAGTTGCTGTTTGTCATCTGTGGGGAGGGAAAATCTATCCTCTGGTAACTAACGAAGAAAGATGTTAAAGTTTCATGTCCAAGGATAGGTGGGATGCTCATGAACCCTGGAGAAGAATGGGCTTTGGGTGTTTTTTAACCCGTGCGCTAACATGTCTAAGTTTCATTAACATTGGCCAACCAATTTGCAGCACCCAAAGTCACAGGTTTTCAGTGATGCTAAATCTAGTGTACTTTTCTGGTTTGGTTGGGTTTTGGTTTTCTTTTTCTTTTAATAGCTACTTTTCCAGAACCATCTTGCTTATAGCAAGAGTAACCAGGTATTGTGGACATAGCAGGGTATAGCTTTGCACAACCCATGGTTCTGTTCAGCCAGGGAGAAGGGGACGGTGGGAGTGGGGCGCTATCTCCAACAGGGCAGGATTGCCAAGTGAGAAGGTCCAAATTGTACCTTTGCCGTAGATGGCTTATGTCTTGTATTAAACGTTAAGTATGAAGGTCAGTATTTTAGTGTCTTAAGGAATTTCACATTTATCTCTCAGCCACCCACCTCCGCCCCCACAGCCTACGAAGCTCACCCATGCTTCTGCCTCCCTTTGCAGGCGTGACGTTCTCCAGGTACTTCATGGTGTCCTCCTCCGTCTTTCCCACACCTCTCCACACGGCTTCTGAACCATGGGGGAGAACGAGGATGAGAAGCAGAGCCAGGCAGGGCAGGTTTTTGAGAACTTTGTCCAGGCGTCCACGTGCAAAGGTACCCTCCAGGCCTTCAACATTCTCACACGGCAGCTGGACCTAGACCCGCTGGACCACAGGAACTTCTATTCCAAACTCAAGTCCAAGGTGACCACCTGGAAGGCCAAAGCCCTGTGGTACAAACTGGACAAGCGCGGCGCTCACAAAGAGTACAAGCGAGGGAAGTCGTGTACGAACACCAAGGTAAGAGGAACCCTGCACGGGCCTTCCTTGCCGTGACAGAGTGTGGGCTGGCAATTGGGTGCTTAGGAGCCTGTAGCCACTGCCATCCTCAGGATCTTAGTAGTTGCGGGTGTGAGTGTTGTATTGTTTTGCTCAGTTGAAGCCTCCTTTGTCTCTGTGTCTTGGTTAGGGGTTTCCACTCACTGCGGTGGCCTCAGTAATTCTTCCTGTGCCCTCTCCAGGGGAGGGAAGTCAAGGATGAGGTTGAGGGAGTGACACAAGTACTTGACATCATCTTATTTTTACTACCAGTACTACCACTACTATGATAGTACTAACCCTTACAACTAGTACTATCTATGGAGCAACTTCTGTGTGCTGGGTGCTTTATGTCCATGATCTCATTGAACGTCCACGGTAGTTCTTTGCACCACTGTAGCCACTTTAGAGATGCAGACACTGACAAGCCAGTGATCTAGCTGAAGGTCACACAATTAGAAGGCAATCTTGGTCTGTCTGATTCTGGGACTTAAGCCCTAAGTCCCATGGAGAGACATAATTAGAGAGTTGTGTTTCCCCGGAGCAAACATTTTAGAAAGATCCCCCGCTTTTAATTAATTGCTAAGAAGTAGGTCGTTGGTGCTTACTGCCTTTTCTCCCCTCTCTCTTTCTCTTCCTCCTGGCACCTGTGAATCCTCCACCTCCCCATCTCCTTCTCCAGGGTGTATTTCTCTGCTCAGGATCGCCCTCATAGCTATCCTTGCACAATGGAATTCCTTCCCCACCCATTAGCCGTACACAGCATCCGTGCGCACGGGGCTGCCCAGCACAGCTCCTCTGTTATCTCTGAAATGCCCACCACCGAGTGGGCAGCTTAAAGTCAAGACTTCCTGGCTGGCCCTTGGGGGCTGTCAGCCTCGGGCACTGGTCCAAACTGTGTGTTTAGGTTAAAATCAAGCGTGCTAGATTTAGACTTCGCAGGAGGTAGCTCAGCCAGAGCCCTTGGAATTCTAGCTGGTGCCAATCCCAGGACAAGAGGATTGAACTCTCCATGGCAATGGGGACTGTTGTGTTTTTGTTTTGGTGATAGGAGCCACTGAGTCCACCGTGGGATACGGCTGCTTTCCATTGCCCCGGGGGAGACAGCTGCCTAGCTCCTCCGAGCCTGGGGCGCGCTGACTGTGCAGGGCACGGGAGGAGCCTTCCATCAGGCTAAACTGACCTTCACTCAGCCCAGAGCACACTCGCTATTCAGGCAGTGACTGCCAGTAATCTGCCAAGCTCCAGTCTCAGGCGGTGAGGTGGGGATGGTAGAGAAAGAGAGAGCGCAAGAGGGGTGGGAGCAGTGTTCTGGTCCACTCCCACCTGGTATCTCCCTCCCTGCTGTTGTAACTTCATGGTTCAGAGTTCACTGGGCAGCTCTTTGGAGTTGGAGGAGGGAGAGCTTTCTGTGTTCAGCGTCTCCCTTCTCAGTAATTACATATGGTGTCTTTCCTTTTTAAAAGGCCCCATAAAAGTCAGGTCCCAGGTCCCTATTCTCTTTCCCCGAGGGTTTTCAGAGTTCCTGTTGTATCAGGAAATGCTCTTGTCCCACAGACCCCAAACACTGCGCTGTCGAAGGGTCTTCTTGGTGATGTGAAGAACAGGCTCTCAGAGGGAGTTGGTCAGCAGAGGGATGGAATGGAGGGTTGACCACCAGGAAGATGTCCTTCTTTCAAAACCACGAGCCAGTTTCCCAGCCTGACTGGCCAGTCCCCATTTTACAAGCTATGATGGCTTGAAATAGAACAGTCTTCATGTCTTGTGGTTGGCAGGTCACCACTGGCACCTGAAATCCAAGAGAAAGAAAACGTCTGTAGTTAGTGATGGGGACTAAGAATGGTTCTTGCCTCAGAATTTTAGTGCCTTTCTCAGGAGGAGGAAGAAAGACATTTCAGATGTGTGATAGTCCATCTCATATAAACTACCTGGGTGCCGAGGAGTGGAAGATACATTTGAAAATGCACTGTAAGTACAGATCGTGACTGTGCTAGGTCACTTGAACGGCACTTTTCAGAAACCCAGCTCGAGCGAACCAAACAAAACAGGGAAATCATTAACTCACATAAACAGGAAGGCCCAGACCGTCTTTCCCATCCTTTCTCCTTTCATCCATGTCATTATTATTCCTTGTGTTGGCTCCAGCTTTTCATTTCCATGCTGGTACCTCTCATTTTTATCTCTACAGCTTCATGACCCAAAAGGCTAGAGTCTTTCTCTTCCAGCTCAATTTCAAAAAAAAAAAAGTCTCAGGGAAGGATTCTGATTAGCTCAGCTCTGGATCTATAACAGCCAAAGCCAGGAGTGCTGGCAACTGGAGTTGGCAGCTTTTAAGCTTCATGTGACCAACAGGAAGAAGGAGCAGATCCTCAAGGACATGAGGGTGAGAGGCAGAGAAACAGCAGGTGTCCTCGCCCGTGATCATCTGGTTATGGTAAAGGCCACCTCCATATTGGAAGGTTAATGCTCAGCTCGAAGAGGCCAGTGCTTGTATTCCCTGCTGTGAGTCAAGGAAAACACAGACAAGGGTGGGTCATCCCTAGACGAGAGTAGCCTAGTGGTTAAGGGTGCTGGATACCACGTGGCCAACTGTAGTTTGAACCCTGATCCCAGTGACTTGAAAAGCATGCTGGGTGCATGTGCATACATGTCTGCCCCAAATCCTGACAGGATAGAGAAATGGAGGAGAAGGGATTGCGGCATGGCCACTCCCCATTTTGGAGAGCTTTCTCTCTCCCTCTCTCTCTGGCAAGTGCACAGGGCCTCTAGCAATTTATTCACACACACACACAGGAAGTGGGGGGCTCTCCTCTCTTCTACACACTGTCTTGTTCAAACGCTGTGTTTAGCTATTCTTTGGTGTAATAGTTTATGCTGATCCTTAGCCAAACAAGAAATGCAGGGCATTAGTGTACATGTGACTGATCATTAATGCTAAACCAGATAATGCAGGTGTGTCAGGTATCAGGCATAAAGCCAAGCTCCTGGTTAGCCACAGGTAGAGCAAGAATAAACAAAATCCAGCCAGAACACCTATCTTTTACACCAATGTGTTCCATCTGGAGTGGATCTGGAGTTTGGCATTTCATAAGCATTCATCAGTCCTCTCCAGTGTGTTCAGCCCTGTGCTGCTGCATTTATGCCATTTGTATATGTGTGTGCATATGTGTATGTGTGTGTGTGTGTGTGTGTGTGTGTGTGTGTGTGCATATGTGTGCTTGTGCATGTGTTAGCAGACTGAGAACTCGGAGAAGAAGGGTTCTGGTGGAGGTACCAGGGGACCAGGAGAACAGCCTGGAAGGTCTCTAAGGCAATGGCTTAGATGTCATTGCATAATTCAGATCATTGTTTATTATTGATTATCATTTATGAGACTTATGTCAGGTCCAGAATAATTCTTTCCCTGGGCGTGACTATTTGGATAAGAATGGAGTGAACTAAGATCAAGCCAAATTAATTCTTTCGTGACTCTGCATTGGGATTACACCAGACTTAGACACTACTGCAACCAACAAGGGCTACCAGGAAACCAGTCCAGGAGAAGCTGTAATGATACATCATTGGTATGGGAGTTGCCGCAGTCACAAGGTCATGGACTCTGGTCGTTGTTCATATAAACCTTTGGTGCTAGAAGGGACTAAAGAGAATGTGCAATCTCTGCATTAGATAACAGGCAGGGGACCCAGGAAGCTGAAATTATTCAGCTGAAGCTAGCGAGTGCATCGCTGGGACTTGGACTCTCTTTACTGGTTCCTTCGGATTCTTTTGTTAGTTCACTCATGAGCAGGTGTTGCCGAAGGCCCTGTTCTTTCCTACACATCTGATGAGGGGGATGGCTTGAAGGCTTGAGCTTTCAGTAAGGGGGTCAGAAATGCCACTGTCTACATATTCATTCACTTACATGAATGATTAATTCATGAGGTGACTAGTTATTGAGCAGCCACTCTGTGCTAAGCACTTGCCCACTTAATAGCTCTGTCTCTTTGGGACAGTTACTTAATATCTCTGATCCTCCGTCGGATTCTTTGCAAAGTAAGGATGATGATGGCATTACTTTGTGGAGGTACTGAGGACTGGATAAGGTAGTCTTTGTAACGTGTTTAGAATGGCCGCCAGAACCCGTGTGAGCTCAGTGAGCACTTAGCCATTGTCGTCATGAAGTCTCAAGTGCTGTGAGAGAGTACAGTACTCTGGTCTAGAGTACAGAAAAGCGAGTGACCAACTGGGCCTTGGGTAGCCTGAGAACACTTCCTGGAAGAGGAGGGATGATGTGGGGCTTGACGGGTAAAAGTGTGCCTTGTGGAGCTGAGCAAGAAGCTAGGGGAACTCGGGCAGAGAGAGATTCTAGGAAGAGTGTGTTGCTTGTGTAAATGGGAAAGAAGGGGTGTGGGAAGGGCAAGAAGGAGCAAAAGGGATGGATGGTAGGAGACCAAGGAGGATGGCCTCCAGGGGCCAGCCTGTGGACAGGGCCTCGCACTCACACGCAGGACCTGGAGAGCCACGGATGGCGTTCTCCCAAATCCAGTCGGGTTATTTCTACCACCCTCCACCGGGTTGCTCTGTAATCACAGACCAGGAGGTATTTGGACCTCATTGCCATAAAAAACGCAGTTGCAGGACGTGACTCACGGGCTCTTGTCTGCAGCAGTAGTGGGCCAGTCCACATAACAAAAGCTCTCGTGTTGTATCTATTAGAAGGCTACGTCTACATTCTGTGTGCCTCCGCAGGGTTGCCCACACCTACTGCCCATGATCACGACCCTTGTTCATCACTGCCTCTGGAGCACCTCTGCAGTGAATATCCGGGGCCCAGCGTAGGCTCACAGCCCCACTTGTCATGTGGTTCCTGAGCTTCCTCAGCAAAGCAGGGCAGAGAGGCGGTGAGGTAGGCTAAGAGGGCGCTAGGGTGGAGGGAGCCATGGTGGGAGCGGAAGGCTGCTATCTCCCGCCTGGATAAGCCTATCTGACATTCCCGACCTCTG